GATTTGCTAAGTCCGGCAGGATATGACCAGATAACGTTTCTATAGGATTACACGTTTAGAAATCACCTATGTGAGTGTGAAGTGTAAGCCGCTTCAAGGGGAATAAAAGTAAAGGCCCATTCTCTAAGCACTCATGAAACCAGGCGATGTTCATGGCTGAAACGAACACAACCGTGAGAACCATAAATGGTTAAGGATTGATTGTGTGACTTGTGTTGTCTAGGTATACAACAAAGCTCGACAGTTCAAAGATATCAAATCTACCGACTGACCGAGTATATCCGATATAAGTTCACTACGGAAAGTTCAAAGGAAAACCTACTTATCCAGATGCAATTAATTCTTACATGTAAAACACACACGCATCCGTGCATTCCTTTATTTTATAGCCATTTCCCATTCATGTGAGAGATTGTTAGGATTTTAAGCTTGTATAGTTTAAAGAGGGTGAATGAGAAATGGAGGAAAAATAAAATATTTGAGTTTCCCTTGGAAAAGGGACATTGTCCCATATCGGAGGAAGAAAAGGCTTTTGATGGGTATATATATAATTGCTCTTCTTCTAGCTCTTAAAGAGTTAAGAAAAAGGCAAGCCTCGCGCCGTCGTCGTCGCTTGCTCGGCTCGGATTCGGATTTGGATTTTGTCAAAGATCGATTGATTGATTAATCTTTTTGGACAAAATTCCTTTCAATTATTTAATTAATTAATTAAATAATTAACGAAAAATTTAATCCGGAATAACCCATGACCCGCGACACGGTTCGGTCAGGCCCGTTTTCTTTCCCGGATTATTTTAAATATATTTTTCCCGCAATATTTCAAACAACCCTTTCCAACAGCCATGGTTGTTTCTGAAAGGTTGCAAACCTTTTCAGAAACAATACCAACAACTCTATAAATAGAGTTTGAATCCCAGAATCTTTCCTTACGAAATTTTCTGAGCTGCTGCTTCTTTTTCTTCTTCTTCTTCTTCTTCTTCTTCTTCTTCTTCTGCACAATATTTTCCTGTGTGTTTTACGACCATTGAGTGGTTCGCAGTTCATCAGAGTTTTTGGTACCAATACACTGGTGAGTTAAATCGTTCTATCCTGGGAGGACATATTCCAGCACTTCGGGTACTTGAGGGGAATAATTTCCTTAAGGACACACTGTGTATTCAGTGGGCTCGATTTATTCCTATAATATTTTTTCAGAATTTATTTCGTTAAACAAGTATTACTAACTTTCTGTTTTATTTTTTCAGAAAGTTTAATTGTTTATTACAGCAATACAGAATTATAACAAGAGGGAGAGAGGATATTTGCTCCTAAGCAAGACCTACACCTTAACGTGACTGTAAGCTTCATTAGATATTTTGAGTTATATTTCTTCTTCAACTCATATTCATATTGCTTTGACTATTTACTTGGAACCCTAAAATTGGTCAAAGTGTCGTTATTGTCCAAAAAGAAACATGATTAGAAACCTTTTCGATTACAACTCTTCATCCTAAAATGTGCTATTTCTAGCTATGTTCTTTCCTTGTGAGTCTTTATCAAAATTAATTTAAGAATATTTTGGTCAACTAATATACATGTTCGTGATTTTACAACATGGAACAACGACTTCTTTTATAAAAAAAATGTTTGGCTTCTTTTCTAAAGAAATTCTTCATGTCAAAATAAAATTGGGAATATGATTCAAACTGAAAAAGGGAAGGAAAATCAAAATTTAATTTAGTTTACTATCATCGTTGATGTCCATAAAGAAATAGGATAATAGCCTATATCATGCATATTGGAAGTAGAGTTTGAAGGATGCATATGGCATTGATGATGTCTTTATCAATTTTGAAGAAATAGAATTACGGCTTTCATACCGTGAATATTATTAACGTGAGTTAAGTCTCTATATTACTACACGTCTTCATACTAAGGTGTGCTATTTCTTGGTTTTTCTTTTCTGAGTTTCGGCGTTAGATATTTTAAACCTATTTTGGACTATCAATATTATATTCGTTTCTCGGACAATATAATACATTTTCAATAAATTAGTAATACGATTGAATTTGGATAATATAGTACGTTGTCAAATATATGACTTTTTAAGAAGTATAACGTGTTCCTATAGGTATTAGTATTAGATTTTAGGTAATAGACGTACATGTTATCCCAAAAGTACTCATACTAATAGGATTCTAATTGTGTTCCTAGGGGTATTAGTATTAGGTTTAGGTAATAGATGTATATGTTAACGCGTACTATTTATCTATGTCCTACAACTAATAGGATTACAAGGCTAACATTTAGAATTCCGGTTACGTTCTTTCATTGTGAGTTATTATGTTTAATATTAAAAAGTTATTTTTGTAAATCAACATTGTATTCATGCTTTTATAATAATACTAGTTTCTATGTACGTGTGTTGCACGTATATTTTTGTCAGTTATTTACATGAAAGTAGAAGAGGCCGTAGCTTATGCACATAGATATTGTACCCGAGGCCGTAATCTATTCAAATAAACTTGTGGTTCATCATTCAGAAGATGGAGTATTCATATTCTTACTTCCTTTGTTCAGTTCAGTTATCAGCTATCGGTTATCAGTTATCATTTCAGTTATCAGTTATCATCTCAGTATTCAGTTCTCAGTTATCAGCTCAGTTTCAGAATTTATAGTTCTTTCTTTCAGTTACTTTACATACCGGTACAATTCAAATATACTGACGTCACTTTTGCCCGGGGCCTGTATCTCATGATGCAGGTAATGATTTACAGGTTGACGATTCAGAGCGCTAGGATTCTCGTACCAGCTATTTTCAGTACTTCATTAGAGGCTTCATAGACTAGAGTAATAGCTAGATAGAGTCACAAGCTTTTCATGTTAAATATTGTTGGCAATAGCTAGATAGAGTCACAAGCTTTTCATGTTAAATATTGTTGGCTTCAGATGTGTTTCAGACTTATATTAATGTTTTCATATTTTGATGTATATCATTCAAACTTTCAGTATATCATCATGCATTAGTTTATCTTCCGCATTCAGTATGTTATGATATCACATATTGATTCAGCCAACAAGTTGGTTCGTACAGTCACATATAGTCAGGCACCGGGTGTCGTGTTACGTCCAGGCCCAGGTTCAAGGCGTGACAATTTTCACGAAGCATTACCTTATCAGTGGACTACCTCATTTGGCAACCTATCTGTCTTTCGAAAACGGGCCCCGAACGTTGCTCTACAAGTTTTTGTTGAACCACCACTTTTTGTGTCAAGTCAGCTTCAAGCTGACCAAATGGGAGCCACTACTCAACGCACAGTTACAATCATAGGAGCACATGGAGCGGGCTGTGAGAGTACCCAACCATGTTTTGTTAGTAACTTGATAGCTCCAACCTACTATTCAACCTACTATTTTGAATACCTCAGCAGTATTCAACGTACTATTTTGAATATTGCTGTGGTAGAACCAACACTTCCCAGCATTGGGAGTTGTCACCATCGTAACACTAGGGAAGACACCTCCACCTTAGATGCTACTTTTAGGAATATTTTTGTATATACTATGGTGCATGACCACCAACCCTTGTACGCAAACTTTTAATTAATGCAGTTTATCTTTTACACAAAAAAAAAAAGGTTTCAGTTCCAATATTTGATAGTACTTATTAGTCTCCAAATAATAAAAAATTATTAATCCAAGTCCCCAATATAACAATAAGTTAAATATTTAGACACAAATCGGTAAGTAACAATACTATTGAATCTGGATAAACTCATCGTTCGAACTGAATTACATTCTCCCTCTCACTTCGTTTGAGCTATTAATACTGTTGATGCTCCTGAATTATAAACCATAATATTAAATAGCTATAAACTTATAGGAATACATCGTATGATTGATTTTAGCTAAAAGACAGAGAAAGGTACAATAGGGAGGGCAGCGTTGAATATTACAGAAGGGGAGAGGTTCTAAGCCCTTGGAGGAAGCCAATGGCGAACCGAGGTTATGAATATTATTTTTGGAGTCAAACACTAGTACTTATACAGAAAAATTAATAACAATTTATATAGATATATCAACTGAGCATTCAGATTAAAAATAACTGAGTTATAACCATAAAATTTAAAAAATAATGGGCACGCCCTTGAAGGAAGCCTACAAGGAAGTAGGAGATCAGGTAGGGTGTCAAAAGAGAGGTTGCAAAAGGTCCTATGACTGTTTTATAATAATTTTTTCCCCTTCTATACGACATTTTTATAATATTTCTTAGAAGCTTAAATGAAGGGTCGTTAAAGGTTCATATAGCCGTCTCAAATTAGTTTGGATTCAAACATAGTTGTTTAGTTCAATTTTATTATTTTTCTTTATGTTTTAGATATTTTCTTATTATACAATTTTGTATTTTTGTATAGTAGTAGTACTTTCTATGTATTATCAAAATACGTAAGCTTTGCTATAAAATAATCAAGGAATTAATGCTCGGGACAGAAAAATAGATAGTCTGATCATTGTACTCTGAACAATCTACCGGTCAGAAGATAAACCCAAATAGACTACCTTTCTTTCATTTACTTCTTGTGATCGGCAGGCAAAGCGTACGTGACCACTGAATCTCGGTTTGATAACTCACATACCAATGGGAGGTATCACAAGTTATTTGGAGCAAAAATAGCGATGATGATTGTATTCCTCAGTTCGATAGCTCACACAACTTAGAGATTTCACAAGGTTGGAATAATAAAACAAGTCTAGTTATCCGTTATGCAGTGCTACAGAAACAATCTGGGAGTTGATGGTGGTTAGTTGTTTGCCAAATTGACAGAAAAATTCAATGTCCCATTCAGTTTAAAAAACATTACACACTTTTTATTGCATAGCTAAACTGACATGCCAGCGAAGGACTTTATGCAGTTAGAGTGAGATCCTCAACTCTTCTTAATGAAAGAAGTGCTTGAAATTGCAAAGACTACTACCCAGAACAAACTTCCCTATGGTGCAACTAATAAAAACGGAGCAAATTCATGTAAAGGTGGTGTTAACTCAAAATATGAATCAGTATCCCCAAGTATTTTATTCTAACAGGAATCAGCCTAGCAAACAAGAATAAGCAAAAACAACTTACCGCTTCCTAGAAAGTAGAAACAAACCAACTGTACAGTTGGAAATTAAATCTGTTAACTATGGTATCTCATTTACAAAGATAGCTATTTCCTTCTTCACTTTGATGCAGACTACGTGAAAGTTTAGGTCACTTTGAGCTCTTATTTTCTGTTTTATATTTTTGAAGCTCTTCTTGAGCAACCAATAGCCTACATATCAAAGAAACAGAAGCTTCAAGACCACTAGATATAATTGCCGGCATAAACTTGCAATATTAACGTATAATTATCGTACCTCAACCGTAAATCATTATTTTCACGAATTAATTCCTTCTCCCTGTCAAGAGCTGCCTCCAACTACGAAGAAAGAGAGAAGGATGTCATATAGTATGTTGGATCCCCCAAAAAATTAAGGAAACAGAGAAATTACAGAATATTAATTCCTGGTTTGAGAAGCCAAATTCAATTAAATGGTTGAATTTGCAGAGGCTGTAGCAACAAGATTAGTACAAATCCTTACCAGTGATTTCTCCACTCCAACTGAATTTGACGGAACGCATCCCAAGTCCACTGAAAGATTAGCTGAACATATTAAGTGAGACCAGATCATATGGAAAAGATAAATGTGAAATCAAGACGCATTAATTGCCATACCTGTGGAGTCACCACGGGTCACTTGCCTCATTGCACTAAGAATACTCTCCTGTTAAGAGTAAAAGCAGTTTTTACAAAGTATAAGAAGAAAAGAAAATCCTAGCAAGATGATCGATTTAGATCCATTCTTACTGTTCCAGTAATAGTTGCCTGTAAAGCGTTTTGCAGTAGTGGAAATATGGACTGGGAAGAAAGATTTGCTGGTGTAGCATCAGGTGGTAACGGTTGAGTAGCAGCCGGATGTTCTGGAGTCACCTACATGATCCATAAATTCTTTAGATAAATACAATAGAAGATGAAAAAGAAAAGAGAGGAAGAGATCAGTGGTTTACAAGACTAGATTTAGAATAGGATTATGTTTCAAGTCCTTAATCTTTTTGTTTCTGATTCATCATACATTAACAAGCCATTTGCATACTCTACCACCGCATTACTAACTCAAATGATATGCTTGAAACTTAATCTAGCAACACAGTACTTGTGAATGATGAGAACAATATTAACCACTACAGAACTCGAGATTCTTGAATTTACTTCGAACATCCACTAAAGAAGAGACACCATATGCGAGCACATATACCATCTCAGTTTTACAAGCTAAGAAACTATTCTTAGAGAAAGAAAAAGAGAGAAAGAGAGAGGGGAGGGACACTGTCGAAAACCACCTCCAAGCTGTGGCTCTTTTGTAGCATAAAATGAACTTACCTGCAGAAAAACACAAGAAATGATTCCCCAGTTTAGGAGAAATTCAGCATCATCATCAAGACAAAAGTTAACCGCTAGACATTCACCTTTTCCAAGTCAACATTCTCAGAGGTAACTTTAAACCGTCCTCTCTGCTGAACGACTTGATACTTAGTCTTCTCATCAAGATCTTCACTGCTACCGGCTAAATACAGTCTTGATTTAGCAAGCAAATATTAAACCAATGAATGCAAATGTACTCGGATTAAAGTGTATATAAGATAAAAGATACATGTTGTATCATTATAACTTGCCTGAAGTTCTGGAGTGTTTAATGAATATTTCAGCTGGCAAATCATCTGATGTTTGAGGAAAAGCCACATTGCAACTGGAAATATTTTGTGATGAACTTTTATCCCTAAACACAGAAAAGAAAAGACAATTCTAGAAACTCTGCAAAAAAGTGGCATCACAAAAAAATGGTTGCTTGCTAAACTAAAGAAACCAGCAATTAAGCACACGGGCAATGACTTCAAGCTAAAGGAAAATTAGAAATCTATTTACTCAATTTTTATATTTGAAACAATTTCGCAATTCACAAAAGCATATTTAAAGAATTTGATTAAAGAAAACTGCAAATAAATCATCCCAGGCATGTCATTCTTTTACATACTTAATTGCCTGAACATCAGTGATTTAGTAAAGAACTAGCTTTAGTCCAAAGATAATCAGTCCAAAAAGTAGTCCGAGTTTCAGTCTAGCAAGTGCAGATTACTTCAACTGAAAATTTTCAGATCTTTTAAGCGTTCGGTTCACTCAAATGGCCTCCGATTTGCTATCTAAGCTAGATCATTAATTGGTAAAACCTTCTTTTTCATTGTTCACGATATCCATAATTATTTACTAACATGTACTTCGTTTTACTAACATCCAGTGGCGGAGCCACATTGAAGCAAGGGGTGTCCCTTCGCCGGAAAATTACACTATTTTACTAGATAATTTTTTTATTTTATGTATATTTGCTATGCGTTGACTCCCCTTGACTTTTCGATATATCTAATTATTTATATTTTGACACCCCTAGATGAAAATTCTGGATCCGCTACTGCTAACATCGGTCAACAAACTTGGGATAGACATTTTTTTGTGACAATCACAAGGTTTGATGATGTCGACAGAGAGATCGAGACCCACAAGCATCACAAGGAGTTGATGGTAAGACATTATAACAAAAGGGATATAAAATAAGGAACAAAATGCACAAGCCAGCCATACACTGCAGTATTTCCTGATGTTGGAGAGAGCAATTTAGAGACCATATTTCATTTGCTTTTCTAAAAGGGAATGAAAATACAATAATCACTTCTATCCTCTATTAACAAAATTAAGGCAGAGTACGATGTCCCTGCCAGTTCAAATGTATTTCGCTGAGAGCAGAATCCCAATCAAAGTATTTATTTGGAGGAATAAAAGGCTGATTTTATTTAGTAATTCCAGAAAAATAAAATGCTGAAGACAGTAGATGCTGGTATTGTGCTACTACATAATGTTTAAAGTTCACATGGAAAACGTTTAGCATCCTTTGACAGGACATAAACCACCTCCGCAAAATATCCAAGAGTTTTTAAGAAAATTGAGATCATACCTTTGACAAGAATTTATGGGAATGCCTTCAAATGCTTCTGCATGAGTCCCATGTTCACCTTTTCCCACCACACTCATCTCCTCATAGCAAGGAGAAGAATTTTGTGACATTTGAGCATCTTGAATTGAACTAGCGATGCTTAAATCATCATCAAATTTCTCGTTTTTAGCTCTGAAAAGTAGAAATAGGCAGTCATCTTAGCAAAAGTAATAATGACACCANCCAAGAAGTAAATCTATTGAAACTGTGCAAAATGATATTGTCTTGGGCACACAGCATAGCAAAATAATATGCATGCGAACTAAATATAATCCCTTAATCTCTTTTCCCAGCAAACTGCCAGTGTCTGTTTTATGTCTAAGCCATTAAAAAGTATTACCTGTATTCGTTTGGTGTATATAATCTAAACATTAGGGATGAGATGCAGGAAAAATTAATTGAACTGCATCAAACCAGCGACTCTAAGTTGTATGAGTTACCACTTCTAGTTCTGAATTTCTCCTTTTTGGTTTCTTCTACAAATTTGACAGAATTAAGCATTTCACATAGAAAGGGAACCATCTTATTGCCTAATGCATGCCTAGCATATATATATGTGTGTGAGAAGGAGAGAACAAGCAGGATCTGAGTACATGCTCTAGACAACGATATATGTACCATACCATATAGTATCACGCATGCACGTCTAATAACCCTTATGATTATAAAATCACAAATTCCAGTTCTAATATATTATTCAGTATAAAGATATCAAATCATCAGAGTCTTCTTCTAGTGACGTTGGCTATGGTTATGGCACAGAACCTGTGACATTTCTTCTTTCTGCCCATCTGGTATCTTCTTTTGCGCTAGCATGTCTTCTTCTTTTCTCTACAATTAAGAAAGGTTCTTGTTACCATAGAAATATTGAGGCTGTGTTATCATCTAGATGGAATATATATGGCTCCAAAGAGGAGGGAAAACTTATGAAACCTTCAGGTCTTTTATGCGATCACCAAGAGCTGGCAAGCCTTCCAACAATGTTCTTGATATATAATCACTGGACCTAGCTTGCTTAAAGAAAGGATGCTTCAACAATTTTTTGGCTGAAGGTCTTTTTGAAGGATCTTTTACCAAGCAACTAGCAATCATTTGCCTAAAGGACTGAGAAGAAACAAAAAATTGCAAGCAGATGTTAATAACATTAATGGACCATAACCACTAATGGTTTGAGAAATACCTTTGAGAACTTCTTATCCCTCTCATAATCAAGGCCCGGTGGTGCATTTTGCAATGTCATTAGCAATACCTGCAAAGTGAAAAACATGCAATGCATTTATGGTCACAAAGGCTCCACCAGGAAAGCAAATTTAGGATGCACTGTCACTGTACCTTCATTGGAGGGTATTTTGAGAAAGGAGCATGTCCATGAGCAAGCTCTAAAGCAGTTATGCCAAAAGACCAAATATCAGCTCTGTGGGGAACCATTAGAAAATACATTTTAAAACAAAAAAACAAAAGACTTCCTACAGATAAAGTAAAATTAGGAAAAGCAGAATGTACGAATACACAGAAATGTTACTTGCAATCATAACCATGCAATTGCTCCATGACCTCCGGTGCCATCCTGTAAAAGAAATGTAAATTATGGAGAAACAACTTGATATTTGAACCTGAGCTTATCAATATTTTTAATGCCTAAGTTTCTGAATGTGCATCGCTATGTATAAACAAGACTTCTTCAACGGTTATCAACTACTACAGACATTACAAAAGCTAAATAGCAAAAAGAGAGAAGCAATCTCTGGGTTAAAGCATACCAACAGGGAGTTCCAACAAATGTGTTCCGTATACGCTGCCTATCACCTGAATCAAACAAGTAGGCTGATACACCAAAATCTCCCAACTTTATTCCACCACGTGAATCAATGAGAATATTTCCAGCCTACAATAACCATACAAGTATGTTGATTTCAAGTTCCAAAAGGTTATGGAAAAGTTATCGTCCTGTTCATCTGTCCATGCAGTTGCTAAACTACCAGGATGGATTAAGAATTTTCCCTTTGTTATATTTGCATGGGACGTAAAACACAAAAGATATCCTAAAGATTCTTCTTTGATACCATATCCAAACTCCAAAGAGATCCTAAAATGAAATTAATTAAACAAGTTGCAATAGAAGTCCAATAGACACCTTCTTTAATGCAGTGCAAGACTCTACAGTGAAACCTGATGGATGAATACATAATCTCATCAAATGCTTAAAGGATCGGCTGATGCGAAGAAACTAGTAATGGCTTTATGTAACAGGTGGACTTACTTTGACATCCCGATGAATGTAGCCATGATCATGAAGGTATTCCAAACCCTTTAGCACTTCGCGTAAGACTGTTGCAATAACCACCTCTCCGAGACCATCAGGATGAGCAGCCTTCAGTATGTGGAGACAGGAACCACCAGCCATGTACGGCATGACAACCCAAAGATTTTGATCACATACAAAGGAGCAGTGTGATTTAAGAACATTGGGATGGTCAACTAGGACCATTATCTGTGCTTCCCGTGAGACGCGGTCCTGGATTAGAAATCAGCCAACTTGCTTCTTCATTTAATCGAAGTATCAGCAACCACAATACAAACGAAATGATAATATCTGTAAACTTAGGTACTTTCGAGAAGTAAATAATTCATAGACTTTCACGAAAAATACAGAAAATACATCACATTCAATCCTCCATTGCACGATGATGATAAGAACTCTATACTTATAGATTTCCAAGCTTGGATTAATGAATTCACCCGGAAAGCGAAGATCAAGGAGCTTTTTTCAAGATGATAATTGCAAAATAGAGAGTTTTTAGGAGCACAACTTAATCTAATTATGCTCTAAGATTACCCTTTTTTTTTTGTTTCTCATCCGGTGTTCGATACACGCTTTGGGGCCGACTAATCCTGATTCTTGTCGGGAAGTTCAGTTTGGGGATAAAGCGCTTCTTACCAAAGGCGACTCTATTCCTATGGCTCGAACTCGAGACTTCTGGTTAAGAATGGAGGGATACTTACCACACCACCACAACCTTTGATCTCAATACTAACCACTGGTCCAAGATTATCATCTCAATATTAACTAGCAAAGATAAACTTTCTTTCGAAGTGGGAATATTAGCTGCTTCTACTAGGTATAGGATAAGTCATAAGGCTTATCAATCCCTTTTTCTGGGAAACAAAAAAAAGAAAAAAGCACTACTTTATAATAACTCAATTGAAAAGCTGATATGACTCCAACAATGAATATAAGACCTCTATTCAGCTATTTTCAGTACTGAAAACCCAAGCTACCAAAGCTCAGTTAGTACTTTAACATCTGAAATATTGTGTATCAAGAATGAACCAAATAAAAACTATAACTAGTGTGGAGAGTGAAAAGTCTGATGTACATAAAAAACGGAACTTGGAGAAACCAACGCCATAAGAAAATAACAAGCATTGATTTCAAATTGGTTTCAACGCTAAGAATTAATCAATTGTGACAATTAAGGCCGTAAATAGATAAAAAGAAGTTCAATTTTTTTTTTACCAGATCACATTTATCACGCTCGAAATCTAGGATTTTGATGGCAACGATCTCATTGAGAGGATTACAAAGAGCGCGATGAACCAAGGCGCTAACTCCTTGCCCTACCTCCTCGTACAGTGTGTAATGTTCGGATCCAATTGTATACTGTATTCGCTTTTCGCTTGGCTTCTTTACTAAACTTTTCTTGTCCATTATTCAAACACTCTGTTCTACGCTATTGCAAAACTCACAATCGCAGCATGCATGTAATCCACAGATCCGGATTCTACGTAAAAACACAGCGGAATTCAACTTTAAAGCCATTAAAATCCAAGGCCAGCTCTAGGGTATGAAGGCCATTGCCTTGGGCCCCAATTACTTAAGGCCCCAAAAATTATTACTACACTACTATATAGTTACTACTTGCTAAGTACTACTATAAATTATATAATATTTATAAATTATTAATAGAAGATTTTAAAATTTGGTAAAGGTAACATTGAGTGAGTTAATACAATTAATTTCTCTCTCATTAAATTAAATGATATATTTACTTTCTATTTTTTTTCTTCTATACTTCTTTTTTCCTCACGATTTTACTTTCTATTTTTAATTCATATTCGCTAAATTATCAATTTTTTTGTCACATTTGATTGATCCATACATCAGAAAGTAAGAAATTCTCGAAGAAGATAGGACAAGGTTCAAAACTCAATTAATAATGGACTCACCCCTTTAATGTTTTCACTTGATACCACCATATTTTTTTTTGTATATGAGAGAGTTCAAATATGATGTGTGCGTAGCTCACAATTGCCTTGCGCTTTCATGACCACTAAATCAAAGCCATGTAGGCTTTTTGTGTGTCTTATTTTTATATTGATTTTATGAAACAAGTTTAAGGGCCTTTTAACAAATGAATGTTGTACTTATTTTAAGTTATTTTATATAATTCGATCTCCTTGTACACAAATTTAAAACAATTGACGCTACATACACATAGTTAGTACTATATTAAATGCACGAAGTCCTACCTAAAATTTTGATTGATTTTTTAACCTTTAAAATAAATTTCACATTGTATAAAATTATAATTTGATTATTTTCTTAATATTTAGGAGATTGACATCACCTAAAATTTTGATTATTAATTTTCTAATATTTAGGATATTGAAATCGACCAAAATTTTGATTATTAAATCTTTCTTATTTGTACTAGTAGGAAATTCTAATATTTAAAACTTTAAAATTAATTAAGAGTTTTTTATTTGAACTATGTAACATAAATCTTTCCTAATTGTATCAATTCACGTGCACTTCCAATACTAATCAAGTTCCTGACCAGTGTTTGAAGTTCCAAAGTAATACAAATTTCACATGTACAACACTACTTAATTTGAACAACCTCTTGGCTCTTACAACTATATAATATATAATAAAAAGGGATACGTTGGCTCAATGCATCACACCACACACGAAATATCATCCTTTCCAGGTAATTTTATTTTCCTTATCACATGAACTGTCTATAAGAGATTAATTTATTCCATCTATCTCAATTGACAATAAACTATACTAGCATGTTGTTGTCTTGCTTTAGTTGTATCCTTTTCTTCTTGCTGTTTTAAACTTTTTTTCTATCTTCAATGATGATTCTGCTTTGTGGTGATGAACCCCAGTTCTGGGTAAATATTATGTGTTGCATACTCGATTGAACTGTAATATCTTTTATTTCATTGTCTTATATTGCATGGTTTACTAATAGGTTTTTTTATTATTAATGATTGTACACTCACGGAATGATATAATATCTTTCATGCTTGAAATATAATTGAATTTCTTTCATTACATGAAATCTCTAGTAAAGACTAGTTTCATATAACGTAATTCTTTTTATATTCAATAATACGAGTACATGTATAATGCGCGTACCTTAAGACTAGTTAAGAAAAAACTACTTGGAATTGCATCTAGATCGTTATACACATAATCTTCAACGAAAGAATACTTGTTACAGATTAACTGCAAACAATTCGACAAATCCATCAACATATACATAGTGATCAACGCATTAATTTTATGAGCAGTAAACAAATTTAATAAAAGAAAATTTCATGCAGAACTAATAATTAAAAGACTCCACAATAAAGAGCAGTCATGGAATTCACAGTCGAAATTATATAGAAAAAGCGAGAAAGTAAAAAAGAACAGAAAACTAAAACGGTATTTGTCCAGATTAATCTTTGAAAACATAGAAATTTTAAAATAATAACAGTGGTGACAAGCCTAATTAACAGCAGCAACAGATTATAGATCATATACTTGTGCACTTGTACATCTCCCATTCTTCAATCTCCAAGCTTAAAAAAGTGTCTTAGGTTGTGTTTGGTCAAGATCAAAATCTAATAAATCCATGTAGTTGCTGAAATCATCCATTGGTGGCATGTCTGGTAATCCGTCCCAAAATTCTTCAGAAGGTGGCCAACAATCATTTTCTGGAACAAGAGGAATAGGTTCATCTCTTTTCATATGTTGAGAAGTAGAGCCCTCTAACCGTTGGTCATTAATAGCATTTCCTTCAGTTTTCACGAGATGAAGCCCTGAATTAGTACTTTGTTCTCCACACAAATAAATATCCTGCCGTGGGAATACACTGAGTATGTTGTCGTTGTTGTTGCAACTCAAATAAACATTCTGATCTCCTGTAACATGTGTATGCTGCACTACTTGAGGAGGATGATAATCTGCTATAGGATTTGCCATTATAGTTGACATGATATCAGCTGATGAAGTCTTTGTTTGGCCAAAATCACTAGCAGCAGTAGCTTGTAATTTATGGCCATTATACAAATAATTCAACTTCATGCCTACATTTTGAGGATTCTGAGACTTGATAATTGTATTATTGGTCTTGAATTTTCGCTTTGTTGATCGAAGTGGTTGACCATTGTTATGGTTCATCACTTGTTTGGGCTCAATCAAAGAATTTACCACATTCCTTTGTTCGTCTCTTTTCCTCTTTTCCCTTTCATAAATTCTGCATACTATAAAATTGTTGAACTGCACGCAACACAAAGTGAACATACATAATTTTAACCATATATATAATTTTTTACATATATGAATATACTATATGTAAAACATAACATGTCTATTTGGTACGTAGTTGGTAGTTGTTACTACTATATATTCATGAAATTTAATGTTATTATCAAGTCTTTCGTTTTGTGAACAGTAAGATAAGATTGGCATAATTAAGAGGTAAAAAAATACATAGAATAAGAATACTCATCTTGGAAAACTATATATCTTATACAAAACATTAGTCCACCTCAACACCATCATTAATGAATAATGAAATTAAATTATATGCACTGATAGTGTAAAATTATTTATATTATTTGTGCAATCCAACTGAATTAGCAGACTGCTATTCTATTTTTAGATTATCATATCATACTTATTATTCGTGAAAAAAAAAAATATACTATGTTATTATAGGTAAGCTTAAACAGTGATATAAAAGATTTAAACACTATAGTGCAAAAACTTAAGCTTGTTGAATAGTACATACCTTTTTTTCTGGAGCGTGCCGAGAAAAGAGACTCTTATGTAGTTCAAGCTCATGCATTATCCAATTTGTCTTGATATCGTTTTGGCCCTTTGGGGTTTTTAGATAGTAAACAAGTACGTTCTTTTTGCCCAACGGCAAGTTACCAGCAGCGAATATAGGAGTGAGTTTGTTGGTAATTTTCCAATATCCCTTTCCATCCCTGGTACTCCGATCAGCCCTAAATCCGTTTGGATATTTTCGTTCTCTCCTTGTGAAAAAATAGGTATACTCCTCTTTCGTGTCCATTCCTACAGTTATAATGGCAAAACCATTAACTAAAAAATAAGTTTCTTGTATTATATTAAAAAATAAAGTCGTGACCCCTAGTGGCGTTAGACAGAATTTTATGCAAGCGATATCATCACAACTCAGCTTGTATACGAGTTTTGATCTAGAACAGTATTAAGGTTTTAGTAATTAGTTTTCAGGTCGATACAACTTACACAAAATCTAAATACATCACTGTAACTATCGAAAAAATAGATAGGCGGAATATGGAGAGAGACACATCTAGCAAAGAACGACAGACGCATATGCTGTCATAACTCATAACTTTCCAGCTTCCAGGATTTGCAATAAACCAACGGTAGAACCTTTAGTTCCACTAATCTAGACAGGAGATAATCACAATTTAAAAAAAAATAGATAGGCGGAATATGGAAATCAGTTAATTGTGTAAGGACGAAAAAGCACATCCTATAATTCACAGAAGAACGCATATTATGACAATAGTATATTATGCCACATAATTAAGAAGAGGCCGAAAAAGGAAAAGTGTCCAACTTACACAAAATCTAAGTATGTCACTGTAATTATCGATGCAACAAATTAAAGCAACAACTATGACTATTTCGCGATGATTAGAATGAACAATATTACGGTAAAAGAGTTTTAGTTTAGTCCACCGCCTTAAAAAATAAAAGTGACACCCCCTATTGGCTTAACATAGAATTTTGTGCAAACAATATCGATCATTGTCACAATTCAACTTATTGCATAGGTGTTTTGGTCTAGAGACGTGCTAGGGTTTTAATACTTAGTTTCTAGGTCGATACAACTTGCACAAAATCTAAGTACGTCATTGTAACTGTCGAAGCCATACCTGGAAGCTGAAAAGGGTTGCGTTCGTAGATGTCGGCGTCCTGTATTAGTCCTGACGGTATAATTTCTCCTTTCACCTTGCAAAGTAAATACAGTAGCAGCTCTTGATTGTCTGGAACAAACCTGTAACCTAGTGGGTATTTTTTCATGTACTGATGAGAGCCTTCTTCTTTTTCTCCAGACATGGCCTGGTTTCTTTGTTTCTATGTGTAAAGTTGCCCTAGCTAATTGGTAATTTCCGATGATATTATTTCTATTTTTTTTTTTGTTAGAATAGTTTGATAACTAGTGATGCGCACATGCTTTATATATTTGCGGACAAACTTTAGGCAATTGTTATTTGATGTGTTTTAGTAGATTTAGGAATCCTATCTACGACATATTTTAGTTCTAAATTTTCCTTTCTTTAGATGGTTTAGACTAAATAATACACGTGATAATCTTTTAATTAGTTGATGGTGTGATAAGTTTATCTAATGGTGTAAAGAACTTTGTCCAATGAGAATGCATAAAATTATGAAAACCAATTTGTGATTATATTGCAAGTAAAGGAAGATGCTAAGGTAGTTTTTATTACCACTGTTACCTTCCGCTATCATCTCTTTTCTTTCTTTCTTGACACGCACTCCTCTCTCTCTCTTGCGAAAA